ACAACCTCTCGTCAATATGCGTTTTTCGCATTGCATTGCTGCAAAAAACGCATAAAAAATGAAAAGAATGTAGAAGAAAGAATGACTGTGGAAAAAATGGAATTCTGCAATACAAATACACCAGTGAGGCATGCATTTCGATGTGAATATATAATGGTTGATAAGAATTTGAAAGCAAACTTATCGAAAAAATATTTCTATAGAAATGAGGAATAATATAGTCACATATGTGATTTTTCATTAAACAAACAATGCATTAACTTTTATGAAAACATTTGTGAGGATACTGAGCCCCAGCAATTTTTCAAATTCCCTTGTAAAACTTTCAAAAATCTCGTCACTTCAAAATATTCCGATGAATTTAACAATGGATCAATGTTTTAAAAAATACCTTCTGATATAAATTCTTAATTTCCTCAGCGGCAAATAGAAACACTAGAGCTCGAGCAGCATGTGGCAATATCCGATACTGTTGGGTCCGATAATCAAGAATCTGCGTTTCCTTTGAACTAAATTTGACAGTATACGAAAACACAAAATTGTTTCCAGAATTCTTTACGGCATTTCATCAAAGCTGTCTGGAGAAAATGAAGCGTAAACATACGCCGAGTCTAGTTATGCTGAGACGCTTTATTCTGAGCTGTATGTGATTAGTTTGTACCTGTTGTACGTGCATTATCCTTCCAAAAATAGTAAACTAGCAGCAGAAAGACAACACTAATCGATTTATTAGCAGTGGAAAGCAAGAAAAACTATGTACTGCATATGGGAAGCAGCCAAGGGAAGAAAAGTGTATTCTGCCTTGAAAGGTATATGCACATGTGCCGCTATGCTGAATTTGAAACAAAAAAACCGATGGTGTCTTGAGTTGGTAGCACGTCGTATCCGGTTTCGGCGGCTTGACGCTTCTGGTCCCTAACTACTTTCAAAAAGAGGTCTCGTTCAAGTCATAATGTCACAATTCAGGAAAACGGCGAAAAGAAGACGACAAGCGATATTTGTGGCGGAGTCCTTCGTGGATTTATGGAAAAAATGACTGTGCGAAAATAGCTATTCGAGTGGAAATCTTGTCCTACTTAACAGAGATTTGCAGTATGGCCATGAGTGGATTTAATTTATCAAGAATTTCCGAAAAATAGCCATATTTAAATAAGTGCATTGTGAAGCTCACGCAGATTTTAATTCACCCTGTCGTCTAACAGCAGAATAACGTATCGCAATAGTAACAGCGGCTGCTAGCTGCAGAGCCTGATCACGTATCATA